TTATTGTAATTGAGTTGAAATATATTAGATTGTATTTCTGAATTACATTTATTATTTTCTGTTAAATTAAATGGTGTACTGAAGTGGTTTTCTAAGCAATTGTAAGATTTAGTAGGACTGACAGATATAGTAGTTTTAGAATTAGTAGACTTTTTAAGGGTATTTGGCTTGTTATTATTATGATGAAACGTGGTATAATTCACCTGCAATTGTTGAGGTGTAGAGGATTTAGGAGAAATAGTAGATTTAGTATGATAGTTTTCGAGACTCAACTTCTGTGGTTGAGATGTATTAGGCATAGAAGAAATAGTAAGACTCGGTTTTTCCCGAGATGTAGAAATAGTAGACTTAATATTATTATTATGACTCCACTGCTTCGGTTGAGATGTTAGAAATATAGTAGGACTCCGCTTACTAGCTGGAGATGAATAAATAGTAGAATTGGTACCATTAACGTTATGACTCAACCACTGGGGTTGAGATGTAAAAGATTTAGTAAGGATATTAGATTTAGTAAAATTAATATGGTTCTTATTACGAGTATTACTTAATATAAAAGTTTTATTAGATATAGTTAAGGGGATATTAGAGGCGTCAGCGTCGGTTTGTATTGATGATTCCGTACGAAACGGGACCGGAATCTTATTTAGTTTAAATGATCATACGTGTTTGACTCTAATGAATTACAGTTAAAATCTTGAATTTCAGAGTGAGCTAGTTCGACAACATTGTTAACTTGCCTTTGTGGCTTGTTAGTTGAATAATTGTTACGGGAATTATTATATTGGCGCTTTCGACATTGCGTTATGTCGTGACCGGGATTTTTACAATATTTACAGAATAAATTGGTATTATTTTGCGCATTAAAAGAGGAAGAGGGTTGTGATTGGTAGGATATTTGAACGACGGGGGCAGCGAGGTTGATGTTCCGCCCGTCAGGGAATCGGAGTTGGGGGCGGCTGTTCTACGGATTCGATCCAAGAACACCGCCCCCGGACCGGACGGGGTTCCAGCCCGAGTGATGGCCCGAGCCCTCGACTACATGTCGGACCACCTCAGGGGGGTGTTGGACGCTAGCCTGGCGTCCGGACGCTTCCATGAGCGCTGGAAATGCGGGAAGCTGGTCCTGCTGCAGAAGCCGGGACGGCCTGCCGAATCGGTCGCGGCCTATAGGCCTATCGTGATGCTGGACGAGGCGGGCAAACTTTTTGAGAGGGTGCTCTCTGCCCGCATCGTCCGGCACCTTTGCGAGGTTGGCCCCGATCTCTCGATCCCGATCACTCGGACCTGATCCGCCGCCGGCGAACCGGGCGGCGGAGGCGCGCTTACCTGCGCCTCATGCCGCCCTGAGTGTGGCCGCGGGTGGACGGGATGGGTTCTCCCCTCCACCCGCATTAGTTGGCCAGCCGCGAGGGGGCGGCGTCGCCGACTACGGGTGAGGGACCTCCGGGCACGTACACAGGCCGCACGGAGGTCCGCCAACTCCTGGGACCACCAGTAGACCTCCTTCCTTGGAGGCCGACAACCACGAACGCGGGGCATGGCCGCATCGCAAATCTGCGTAATCGCATTGCAGAAGCGACCAGCCCCCATGTCGACCTCCTCGGTCGGGGCCTGCGGAGACAGCCAAGAGTAAATAATGGCCGCCTCCTCTAGTAGGTCCCTGTCGAGCTTGGCGATAGCCCACCGCGGGAAGCGGGAAGGGCGCCGCGCCGCGTGACCCCTACTGGGGTCCTGGGACCTTGAGAGCTCGAATCGGATGTACAAATGATCCGAGAGCGTCTCGACCTCTTCCAGGACACACCAGTTCCTTACTCGTGCGGCGACTGCAGGGGTAGCGAACGAAAGGTCCACTATCGACCCCCCCTGCTGTCGCACGCACGTGTTGGTGGAGCCCCTGTTCAGCAAACAGAGGGCCACCGACGCCGCCCACTCCTCGACGGCTTCGCCCCTGGCGTCCGTCGCAGGGGAACCCCACGCAATGGACTTTGCGTTGAAGTCCCCCAGCACGAGGACGTGCCCAGACACTAGTCGCCGCATCGAGGCCTCCAAGTTGTTAAGGAAGACCTCGAAGTCGTTCAAGCTCCGGTTGGGGGAGAAATATACACCATAAATGGTGATTCCCCCCCAATCGGCGGCAACATATCCAGTACCCTTGTCTCTTAGCGACAAGGGCAGGGAATGAGCCGCCGTGGAGCCGACGACTGCCACGGAGCCGTCCCGGTCACCCATCCAGTTTGGACGGGGAGGGACAAAATAGGGCTCCGCGACTACGGCAACACCTATCGACCACTGTGCCATGGTTTGCAGGAAGAGATCCTGCGCCGCAGCACAGTGGTTCAGATTCGTCTGGACCAGGAGGTTGGAGACTTGATCCATTACTGGATCGTCTCTACAACCTCCTCCATGGGCGTCGGCGTCGACGCAATATTGACGTCGGGGGTAGCCTGGGTCGGCAGGCTAGACCCCGGCGTTTGCCGAGAAGCGCGGGGAGGCTTGCAGCCCCCCTGCCCCATCATGTGATTGGCGGGCTTTTTAGCCGCCGCACACACGGGGCAGTGAGGGGCGGCAGAGCACTCTGCCGCCTTGTGCCCGGGTTGACCGCAGCGGAAGCATAAACCGCTGCAGTCAAAGCAACTCTCGCACTTGGTGCGAGTGTGTCCCGCGGCTAGGCACTTGAAGCACCTCATCGGCCTCGCGGCCAGAACCGTGATTCTGGCATTCACGAAGCCGACGAGCATGCTTCCGGCGTCGCCCAACGCTTTGGCCGCCGCCACGGGACAACTCACCCACACCGCACCGAGGCCTCCCGGACCCGGACGGACGGTGCCGACTCTGATGGTGTCCGCGGTGCACCCAGTCTTCTCCATGACTGCATCGCGGACATCCTCCGACGTTATGGAGTCGTCCAGGCCCGAGATGCGCAGTTCCGCTCATTTGGTGGGCCTGGCGATCTTAACACCGTCCGTGGCGGCGAAAATTCCCCGCAACTTCTCGGTGAATTTGTCGGCCGTCGGGGCGCCTTTCGCCCCAGGGAACTCGAAAACAAGAGCTCCCGTCTGGGCGCGGCGCAGCCTCATCCCCGCCTCCCCGAACTCAGTGGCGATACCGGGCCGGGCCCCCTTGAAGAGGGCCGCATACGTGAGCCCGCCACTGGCCGCTTCCGGCGACAGCGTCACTACTACAGCCGCGGTTTTGGGCGGCTGCAGCTTCCGCGGCCTCTTTTTTGAGGCCGTTGCCACCGGAGGCGAAGGCTGGGCTTAGGCTGCTTTCTGAGCAGCCCTTCTAGCCCGCCTTCGGGACTTCTTTGAGCCCCTCGCCTCCTGCCAACCCTCGTTGGAGGGGGCAGGTGCGGAGGGGCCCGGCAGGGATGTCGGAGCGGGGAGCGGAGGGAAAGCCACTCCGCTCCTCTTCGCCGCTTTACTCTTGGCCGGCACCTGGGCCGGCGCCTTGGCCGCTGCCTGGGCCGGCGCCTTGACTGGCGCCTGGGCCGGTGCCTTGGCCGCTCTTCTCGGCCCCTGGGGAGCTGGTGGTGGAGTCGGGGCCGACGCCGACGCCACCGCCGCGTATGACACGCGGCCTCTCATAACAGGGAGCGCAGTCGGAGCAGCAGCCTTAGGCCGCTGCGACGACGCGAGCGGGGGGCGCACGACCGGTGCAGGAGGCAGTCTCGCCTCCAGACCGGCCAGACGGCCGTCCAGCATACGCCCAACTGCGTCAAGAATTGACCGCAGTTGGGCGTCAGGCACCCCTGAGGTCGCGGTAGGGACAGGCTGGGGCGTGGACGGGGCCCCCCGCTCGGGGAGGTTCGCCCGGAAGCGGGCGAACTGAGCGCTCAGCCCGTTCACTTGCTCCGTCAGCCTGTCATTGGCCATCTGTAGGCGAGACACGTCGCCTACTAGGCCCTCCACGACCTCCGACATGGCGGAGGAGGAGTCCTTAAGGGCCCTCACAAAAGAGCCCTTAAGGTTAACCGACTTGGTGGCTACCTTCTGGATGATAGCCACCGCCGCTCTCGCCCTCTCCTGCATAGACACGGGAGCCCGGGGGGCATCTCCCTCCACCGGCTCCCGAATCTTGAGCAGGAGATCCGCGATCTCCTCCTCCGCTGCGGCCTCGCCGTCCGCTCGTACCCGTCTGTAGGAATCCGCCTTGGAGAAGGCGGAGCCTGACGGGACGGGGACAGGGGTACGCGACCTCCCTATACCCCTTCATTCTCCCTTACGGGTCCCCGCACACGGCACAAACATGCGGGTGGTTGCTCCCCCCCCCTCACTCTCAGTCTCTGTTGATAGTGAGGCCGCAAGCACCAACCACTTAGTGGAATAGGATGGATGGTGTGAATAGGAGACAAAATAGGAAAGGATAGGTTTTATGGGATCCACGGACCTGCTGGGGTTCTCCCAGTGGGCGGGGAGGAGTACCCCGACGTGGCGCGTCCCCGGGTGGCGGATAGGGGAACGGCCCCCAGATATGGGGGTTACCGGCATTGGCCGGCGCGGACCAAACTCAAGGGGTCGCTCCTGCCCCGTCGTCGCAGTCGACGAGGCGAGGACGCGACCACCCGCTTAGGTGCAGGCGCATCTGGGCGGGGTTCGTTTGTCTCCTCATTAGTGAGGAGCAAACCTCTTGGCGGGTCCGCTGATTCGGGTTGGCCGGACAGCGGACGGAGGCATGCTTCAATGCCGCCGTTGAGGGGCTTGGCTTAACCGCCCGGCCCCAGAGGAAGGACACCTCAAAGATAAAAAAACCACCCAATCCCAAGTTTCGGGAGCGCGGCGAGGGGATGAATGGCCGTTGGGGGTACGGTCGTTAGCGCTCCCACCTGCTGGTACCTGCCGCCCCCAGCAGTATGTAGGCTTACCCGGGTACTTAAGCCTCTGCCCGGGGTTGACCTTTTTTGCTTTGTACTCGTGGGAACAAAAATGGAGAACATTAATTCTAAAAACAAAACAAATGACGTAGTGGGTGAAAAAGTACCTCTGGTACTAATAGAGCGAATGGGCGTGCCGTCGGATTCCGATAGCGCGTCCAGCATTATGAGTGTGGCGAGCGCGGTGAGCGTAAACTCTAAACGCTTACGCAAACGCCCGAGAGAGAGTGCAGATTCAGGGTCGGACTCGGCGCTGAGCGACACAGCGGTGCCGGCCCCCAAGGTCGGTGCCAAAAAAGGAGGGAGAGGTAGGCCCGCTACTACCGGCAAATATGCCGGTATCGGCCTATCCAGGCGTGAGGCTGCGGCTGCAATGAAGGCCGCAGCAGTCGCCGAAAAATTAGAGGAGGACGAGCGGCAGATTGCGGCTCTAACGAAAAGGGTGACGGAAGGGAGAGTCACTCGCCTGTCGGAGTCGATGACATCTGCCGTCTCTGATATGGGAGTCGAGGCAGAAGAGCTACCTGCCTCCAACCTAAATGAAAGAGTGGCCGACGCGGTTGCAGCCATAAGAAGGGTAAGCAAGGTCTCTAAAGGACTTAGCGGCTGCAGCCAGAAAGCACTTAAGGAGGCCACGGCCTCCATTCTGGAAAGTGCTCAGGTGCTTTTGACCCGCACCACATCAGAAGAGACGGCGCTGCTGCGGGCCCAGAACGCAAAGCTCGAAGCGCAAATGGCGGAGCTCCGCAAGGAGCACGAGGAGCTCAAGGCGGAGATGGCCAACTTCCGGCGCGAGCACCTCAGGCGGGAGGTGGGCCTTCCACACGCAGCGCCGCAACCGCAATTGCAGTTGCCGTCACAGCCGTTGGAGCAGCAGTCGCCACAGGAGACGGAGTTGGCTCGCCTGATCCGTCAGGAGATGGCGAGTTTCAACGCGCGCTTCTCGGTGCTTGAGGGGAGGATTCTACGCCCCCCCCTAGCTGTAGACCAACGCAGCACACCGGCGCCGACATATGCGAGCCAAGCCGCAGCGCCCCGTGCCGCCCAACCGGCACAAGCAGCTGCTGCCGCACAAAAAAGGAGTGTTCGAACTGCCGCCTCGCCAAAGGAAACGGGGCCTAAATCAAAAAGGCAGTTAAAAAAAGAGGCTAAACTGGCCAAAAAGGCAGGTGCTACGGCTGCTCCGCCTACACAAACTGCTAGACCAGTAACGGGCGAACCCGCCACTAGACCTGAGTCGGAGTGGACGGTTGCGGGAGCCGCCAATAAATCAAAAAAGGCGCGCCAGCGGGCCAAAAAGCAGGCCCAGAAGGAACAAGCGGCGGCCAAGCGCCAGAACGCGAGGCTTAGAACCCCTCGCTCTACAGCAGTGGTTCTCACCCTACAGCCAGGGGCGGAGGAGCGGGGCCTCACATATGCCGGGATCCTGGCAAAGGCGAAATCTGAGATTTCGCTGAGTGATCTCGGTATAACTGGCCTCCGGTGCAAAACAACTGCTACCGGCGGTCGCCTACTGGAGATATCGGGAACTACTAGTGGTCCCAAAGCAGACGCCCTCGCCGATAGACTCAGGGCGTCTCTAGGCCCGGACGATGTAAGAGTGTCCAGGCCAACCAAGTGCGCAGATCTGCGCATTTCAGGCCTGGACGATTCCGTCACACAGGAAGAGGTCGCCGCTGCCATCTCCAGGGACGGAGGATGCCCGCCGGATCAAGTCAAGGCGGGCACGATACGCCGGGGTGTCTCTGGCCTCGGGACGATTCTTGTCAGCTGTCCCGTAGCGGCGGCCAATAAGATAAAAGACAAACGGCTTCTAGTCGGATGGGTCTCGGCGCAGGTCGCGCTCCTAGCGCCCAAGCCCTATCGGTGTTACCGCTGTTTAGAAGGAGGACATGCGGGGGCACGGTGCACCGCGGGGGTAGACCGCAGCCAAATGTGCTTCCGCTGTGGTCAACCCGGTCACAAGGCTGGCACTTGCACTGCCACGCCGCACTGTGTCATCTGTGCGGCATCTGGCAAGCCAGCCGACCATCAGACCGGGTCAAAGGCCTGCGCCAGGCCCAAGAAGAAGAAGAACAATGTCACGGATATGACAAAGAAGGCAACCAGCTCCTCGCAGCCGGTTCACCCGCCGGTTGCGGCAGAACATCCGCCGAGGGCTGGGGGGGAGACAGCGGACACGAACATGGACACACAATGATGGCCCTACGTCGTCTCCTCCAAGCCAACATAAACCACTGCGCCAGGGCTCAGGATCTCTTGCTCCAGAGCATGGCGCAGTGGTCGATCGATGTGGCGGTTGTCGCCGAGCCATATTTTGTGCCACCCAGGGATGACTGGGTGTGCGACACGAACTGCTCGGTGGCACTGATTATGAGGTCTGCCGCAGACACCCTTCCCTTCGAGGCCGTCACCCGAGGGCGGGGCTATGTCGCGGCAATTTGGGGAAATGTTATGGTCGTGGGGGTGTATTTCGCCCCCAGCCTTTCTCTCGCCGACATGGAGGATATCATCTCGGAATTGGGCGCGGTCGTCAGTCGTAGCCGTCCTCGTCCCATGATCGTCCTTGGGGACTTCAATGCCAAATCTACGGCTTGGGGTTCCCCGGCTACGGATGCGCGGGGCGAGTTAGTGGAGGAGTGGGCGGTCGAGCAGGGCCTGCTTCTCCTGAACCGGGGTTCCGTGCAGACGTGCGTGCGGCAGCGGGGTGGGTCTATAGTGGACCTGTCGTTCGCTAGCCCCGCTCTCGCGCGCACTGTCCAGGACTGGCACGTCCTGGAGGGGGTGGAGACGCTGTCCGATCATCGATATATTCGATTTAGTGTCTCCGCCCAGACCTCGGTTGGGCCGGTCCAAGCGGCCCCGGTGGGCGTTGGAGACGGCCCGCGTTGGGCACTGAAGCGGCTGAACAGGGAGGCTCTCCTGGAGGCCTCTATCGTCAAGGCCTGGCTGGACTCTCCAGGCAGGCCAACCAACATCGACGAGGAGACGGAGTGGTTCCGGGAGAGCATGTCGCACATCTGCGACGCTGGCATGCCCCGAGTCCGGCCGTTACCATCTAGGCGCCAAGTGTACTGGTGGTCGCAGTCGATTGCGCAGTTGCGCATCGCTTGTGTGCGGGTGCGACGCCGGTACGCAAGGTGCCGAAGAAGAAGACGCCGCCGCCCCTTTACAGCGGCGGCCGAACAGGAAGAGGCGGAACTATACAACCGCTATAGAGAGGCGAAGAGCGCCCTCCAGCTGGCCATTGTCCGGGCAAAGGCCCAGGCCAACGAAGAGTTGCTGGAGACTCTGGACCGAGAGCCGTGGGGACGCCCCTACCTTATGGTAAGGGGCAAGTTGCGCCAATGGGCTCCCCCACTGTCCCGGAGTCTCCAGCCACAGCTGCTGGAGGAGGTGGTGTGTGCGTTGTTTCCGTCGAGATCGGAGCACACACCACCAGCCATGGTTCCGCCTCGCAATGTGCCCGACGCGGGAGACGACATTGACGACGACGTGCCCGAAGTGACCCGGGCCGAGTTGAGAGTGGCGGTGGCTCGCATCAAGAAGACCGCCCCAGGTCCCGACGGCATTCCGGGCCGTGCATGGGTCCTGGCCTTGAAGGCTCTCGGGCCCCGACTAGTGGGACTCTTAAGCGCATGTTTGGAGCGGGGCCAGTTTCCAAGCCGGTGGAAGACCGGAAAGCTGGTCCTGCTCAAGAAGGAGGGGCGCCCCGCAGACTCGCCATCTGCGTACAGGCCAATCGTGTTGCTGGACGAGGTGTGTAAGATCTTTGAGCGAATCATCGCCAGTCGCCTCGTCCGGCACATGACCGGGGTGGGGCCGGATTTGGCGGACAACCAATTTGGTTTCCGCCAGGGGCGCTCCACGGTGGACGCGATCATGCGCGTGAGGGTCCTCACGGAGGAGGCAGTCGCCCGGGGTGAGGTGGTCTTGGCGGTGTCGCTCGACATCGCCAACGCTTTCAACACCTTGCCCTGGAGTACCATCCGAGAGGCACTCCGGTACCACGGGGTGCCGCGCTACCTCCAACGCATTGTCGGGGCCTATTTGTCGGAGAGATCAGTGGTGTACCCGGGTCGAGAAGGATGGGGTCGGCGAGAGACGTCGTGCGGCGTTCCACAGGGTTCGGTGTTGGGGCCGCTCCTGTGGAACGTAGGGTACGACTGGGCTCTGCGCGGTGCGCTTCTCCACGGCGTCGGCGTCATTTGTTACGCCGATGATACGCTAGTTACAGCGCGTGGGAAGTCGTACCGGCAAGCGGCCATACGCGCGACTGCTGGTGTCGCGCACGTCGTGGGTAGGATCCGGCGGCTGGGCTTAGAGGTGGCATTGCACAAGTCTGAGGCCCTATGTTTTCATGGGCCGAGGATGAAGCCGCCGCCTCCGGGGTCCAGCATCATAGTAGGAGGGGTTTCCATCGCGGTCGGGTCTAAGATGAGGTACCTTGGACTCGTCCTCGACAGTCGGTGGAACTTCGGGCCGCACTTTACACGGCTCGCCCCCCGATTGTTGGGCGCCGCTTCTGCGCTCTCGCGCTTGCTGCCCAACCTGGGTGGGCCCAACTCCTCCTGCCGGAGGCTCTACACGGGGGTCGTACGGTCGATGGCGCTATACGGCGCCCCTGTGTGGGCGGACGCCCTGACGGCCCGCAACGTCGCCGCGCTGCGAAGGCCGCAGCACGCGATGGCCGTCAGGATCATAAGGGGATACCGTACGATCTCCTTTGAGGCAGCGAGCCTCCTAGCCGGATCCCCGCCATGGGACCTCGATGCAAGGCTCCTCGCGTCGCTCTATTGGTGGCGCGCGGAGGCGGCCGAGCGGGGCGAGCACCTGGTGCCTCGACAGGTTGAGGCACGCAGGGCGGAGCTCCGCCAGGTCCTAGTGGCGGAGTGGCAGACGCGCTTAGCGCAACCCACGGCGGGGCACGCTGCTGTAGCGGCGGTAAGGCCCGTTCTAGAGGAGTGGCTCAATAGGAGCCACGGCGCCCTCAGCTTCCGGCTGACGCAGGTGCTTACCGGACACGGGTGTTTCGGGAAATACCTGTGTCGCATAGGCCGGGAGCCGACGTCCCAGTGCCACCATTGTGGTGATTGCCGCGACGATACGGCGCTACATACGTTGGCGGAGTGCCCAGCTTGGGCCGAGCAGCGCCGTGACTTGGTCGCGGCCGTAGGTGCTGCGGGGAACCTATCGCTTCCGGCTGTTGTGTCTGCCATGGTCGGGAGCGAGTCAGGGTGGAGTGCCGCCGCCACCTTCTGCGAGGCCGTGATGCTCGCGAAGGAGGCGGCAGAAAGGGAGAGAGAGGCTGCCTCCTCTCTACCCTCCCGCAGCAGACGTACTGGGCGTCGTAGGGTGGCCGACTACCGGCCACCGTAGGGCGCGGCCTGCGGACGGCAGACCCGGGGCGTCTTGTCGTCCGACCAGCGGCAGGCCTAGAGGCGGCGGCGTCGTGTTCCGCGCGCGCCTCATAGTGAAGTCCTGCGGCCGGGGTGACGGCCGCAGTGGGTGACGGGGCCCGCCTGACCATCTGGCGGGCCAATACCCGCCGGGGGGTAGCGACGAATGCTTCGGCGATACCCGCCCCTCCGACACACGGGTACATGAGGAACACGGGTTGGTTTTTTAGTCAGTAAGAGTCTGACAGTCCCCTTCGCCCTTCCCGGAGGGCGGAGGGACTCCATGAGGATCTTTCCAACCCGATACCAAAAAAAAAAAAAAAAGGTTTTATGGGATAGAATTGCGTCTTTGTGTTTATGTTATATCTGTTTCGTAGGGAATCTTACGTTTGTATGTCATAGTATGTCATAGTATGGGATGACACCCAGACTTGCCATGGGAATCTACACGACCGTTGCGCTCTCCCCCATGACCATTTGCCGTGCACGCCCTCCGGACAGGATTGGATCTGCTCCAGGCGATCTTGGCCTATTGGAGCACACCCAACCTCGCCCATACTCATAGGGTTCTAGGAGCTTATCTGAGAATCCAATGTGAAAACAACAGAACAGACTGGAGTACTTGGCTTCCATTTTGGTGTTTTTTTTTCAATACCACTATTCACACTGAGACAAAATATTCTCCATTCGAGTTGGTTTTGGTAAAAATTGTAATTTACCAACCCATTTAGCACAAAATATGTACATAGATCCAGTATAGAATCCTAATTTTTAACCGTTAGAACTAAAATATAGACTTCAGAGAGCA